AAGCGAATGTAAACAAGTTTACTCCACGGTAGATGGCATCACAGCATTAATAAATTTATACAAATTTTAGAGAAAGAAAAAAAATTGATGAACACAACATATATTATTGAGAACTTAATGTACACACAAACATAATCTGTCATAAATTATAAGGAAATGAATGTAGACACACACATACATATACACACACTCACACACTATAATCTGTCATGTATAATGGGAAAATGGATGTACATTCATAAACAATTTTAATTTCCTCTCGGGTACATTAGTTCAAGATGCTATTGGTAATTAAATTCACGTGACTTCGTGTGCGCGTGCATGTGTTGGGGATGGAACATTCGGAATGTTTGTCGAAGGGGGTGAAATTTATTGCAAGTAAGGGCTAATATATTTGCAGTAAAATGAACTATTTACAGAATAGTTTCTAAAATTAGTTATTTGTCGTAGTTAAAAGTTGTATCGATGAGGAAATTAAAAATCTAAATTCATTTGTTAGAATATTGGATAGACTTTTTAAATAAATTGTTTATATAAGTCTGATTATCACTTAAGTTGAATTGCGTGTAGTACACTTTCCACAACCACATTAGATCACCTGCTACTGTGACTGTTACTTACAAACCAAAATAACATACACTTACAAATCGACGTTAAATATATTAGCATGGTACTGAGAGATTCAGCATAGAATATTTTTTAAAAAATGGAAACCTGGAAGAGAGAAGAAAGGATAATGAATGAATTGTTGATTGAATGAAACATCACAAAATGCACAGTATTAACCTATTAAAAGTAGATATTGAGATTTGTGCCGTCCACAAAAATATACGAGGATGGTGGTAATGGAGTTATTTTCTATGTGGAACCTGAAGGGATGGTCAAGGAAGAGGGGGTGATAGTCATTGTGGGTATGAATTATAGGTCTAAGTGTTTGACCATCATTTGATTCTGAAAGTTTGTTCGCGATCTAAAGACCAACGTTGCTCTAAATACGCAGTAATGCACACCTAAAAAGACAGATCTATAATTTCATGACAGCAGTTATAGTTGATGCCAATTAACGAATTGCGTTGTGTTTTTTTTTTTCTTTTTCGGAACCTGAGATTCCATAAATAGTATAGTGGCTCGTGTTGGCGTGAGCAGATGAAAGAATGATTACAGTAATTAAAATAAATGAAAGGATCATTTCGTTGTCACTTTTGGATCGATTGCATGTAAGCTTTTTTTTTGCCTAGCATGTCATAAATCTCCACTATATCTTACATTGACTGGCTAATTTGAAAGGTAATTGACAGTTACAGATGGACTCTAAACAGTACAAATATATTTGTTTTCACAAGTTCTACACCTTGCTTTCAAGTTTGCCTAAATGCAACCAAATATTACGTTAAGCAAAGTATTTTCTTTCACATGATTGATTTTTTTTTATTGTCATGTTCCATATGCATTTGTAAGAGAGACCAAGTATAAATAATGCAACTCGCCAAAATATAGATTTTTAACGATTCTATGCTCTTAAAATAAGTAACATAAAAGAGTGAACACAACAAACTTTGTAAAATTTAAGAAATAATTTATTTGCGTAGAATACAAAGCGAAAAATGACGAAAAAAGAACTGGTATTACGAATTGCATCAAACAATAATCCAAGAATGAAAAACACAAGTCCTAGTAATAAAATGTCCTGAATGAAACTGAGTTCGAGTCCCGTTGATATCCAAAATTTAAGATGTTGACGTGCCTGTTATGGTCAGCGAAGTGCTGATGTGTCAACAGTCTTTTGTTAAATCACAGAAATATTATTCTATGTTTGAAATCAGCATAATTTCCAATGAGTGTCCAAATCCAAAAATTTTTGTCAGAGCACTTTTGTATTTCCAGAGAAAATAATCACTTGAATTCAATAATTTCAATAAAATAAAATTCAGCTTAAACTGGACACAACATAATACAACTTAAAGTACTAGATGTTAAAGCATAACTGTTAAAATCTTCACAGTCACAAGATAATATAGTTCTCTGCTTGACCTCAGTTTACAAAGGTATTTTCTAAAAACAACCATTACCTAATGGAAAAGTACTTTCAAGAATGTAATGATCTTTGTTTACTGATAACACAATGGCCTATAAAACTCACATGGTAATCTCCAAAACCCTGACCTTGATCAACATATTAACCACTTCTTATTTACCTGGATAATAATTTGGTTAATAAGCATATACTCATAACGTATGATGAAGCTATTTTTAGTTGTTTAGATATATAAAATGAACTAAGTTTTAGGTCAAGGTCAAGGCCAGTAAGTAATGTTACATTTCATTAAAATGTAATAAATTTAAAACTAACAAACAATTTAAATTAAATATACATAACAATTTCACTTTTGGACAACATCAGTCCCTGATTACTCACTGGGTACTGTATCCAATACAGACATAAAATCACACTACAGTCATCATATTCTTTTAAGTTAATACCAATAACATATAAACGTAAGTTAGGGATCACCAAGAAAGAAAGTATACGAACAAATAGTCTAAACATGTATATTAACTATACTCATGGGTATTGACGTGAAAACAATACGTTGGATTGGAGACCTATCAGGTCTGCTTTCTTGTGACCACTGTTTTCTGCACGTTATCCATATTTCAGTCATACCCATCCAATCGGACCGCTCCGGAGGCCTAAGTGGTTAGAGTGTCCGCCTCAGATACAGGAGGTCACAGGTTCGAACCACTGTCGAGACTTACCAAAAACTTAAAAAAAATGACTTATAAAAAATGGTACTAGCAGCTGCCTCACTTGGCGCTCAGCATTAAGAAGTTAGTTTTAGGGCTGGTCCGCCTGGTGTCATGAAATATGACTGTGGGAGACATCATGAGCATGTCTGTGGCATGAAGCCCAATTTTTAGACATCACTATAAAACATCACTATAAATCAATCGGGCAGCAGGGGCCGCGAGTGGTCTGGTGGTCTAAAGCGCTGCCCGTTACGGATCACTGCCATCTTACCTCTGTCTGCGTGGGTTCGAGTCTAGGATTCGGCGAATGTGGATAGGTGAGAAAGCTTGCCAGTAGCTTCTCGTGGATCGGTGGTTCTTTGCGGTGATTTCCCGGTCTCTTCCTCCACCATTAATACTGGCCGCCATGAATAGCCTATCAGAAGCTGAAAAATGGCGTTAAGCTCAACAACAACAACAACATCAATCAGGCTGCTGTATTTGGGCTTCTATAATCATTCAGAGTTAGATTTTGATGCGTTGGTCCAAATAAAGCACCAATAGGTAATAAGAGGTTGAATAAATCATTGAAGAAAAATTTCTGAGTATTAGCTAAAATGTAAGAAGTAATTTTATTTTAGATTATTATTGATAAAAATGAATCCTTCAGTTTTCATCTATAAATGCCCCAAATGATCATTTGTTTTATAAATATCCCAGTATACATTTTCTTCTATAAATAACTCAGTATACATTTTCTTCTATAAATACCCAAGTATACATTTTCTTCTATAAATACTCAAGTATACATTTTCTCCTATAAATACACCAGTATACATTTTCTTCTATAAATACACCAGTATACATTTTCTTCTATAAATAACCCAGTATAGATTTTTTCTATAAATAACCCAGTATACCTTATCTTCTATAAAGAACCTAGTATACATTTTCTTCTATAAATAACCCAGTATACATTTTCTTCTATAAATAACTCAGTATACATTTTCTTCTCCAAATAACACAGTATACATTTTCTTCTATAAATAACCCAGTATACATTTTCTTCTATAAATACCCCAATGTACAGTGTCGTCTACACATACCCAATGTACATTTTCTTCTATAAATAGCCAAATGAACAGTTTCGTCTACAAATACCCAATGTACATTTTTTATATAATACCCCAATGCACAGTTTTGTCTATAAATACCCGATTTTGGTTTGGGGGAGAAATGCTTATCAGATGAATATATTCCTTTTTTTTTCAGCCAGCTGCTGCCGAGTACCATTTTCCATGCATGCCTGTCTAACCTTTCAGTCGTCGCCGAGTACCATTTTCCATGCATGCCTGTCTAACCTTTCAGTCGTTGCCGAGTACCAGTTTCCATGCATGCCTGTCTAACCTTTCAGTCGTTGCCGAGTACCAGTTTCCATGCATGCTTGTCTAACCTTTCAGTCGTTGCCGAGTACCATTTTCCATGCATGCCTGTCTAACCTTTCAGTCGTTGCCGAGTACCAGTTTCCATGCATGCCTTTCTAACCATTAAGTCGTCGCCGAGTATCAGTTTATATGCATGCATGTCTAACCGTTCACTCGTTGCCGAGTACTAGTTTCTATGCATGCTTGTCTAGCCATTCACTCGTTGCCGAGTACTAGTTTCTATGCATGCATGTCTAACTGTTCACTCGTTCCAGAGTACTAGTTTATATGCATGCTTGTCTAGCCATTCAGTTGTTCCAGAGTAATAGTCTTCGTGCACGTCTATATTACCATTCAAAGTTTGTTAAAAACGAGTCTTAGTGCATGTTTGTTTTACCATTCAATCGTTGCTGAGCATCAGTTTTCATGCTGGTTTGTTTAACCATCTAATCACGGAGAGTACCATCTTTTATGCCTGTCTGATTTGTCAGCCAATCGTTGCAGAGAACCAATATGTTGCTGAGAACCATATATTGTACATGTCTTTTTTGCCATGGTATCGTTGCTGAGCATCAATTTTCGTACTCGTCTGTTTAACAATCCAATCCTTGCCGAGTACCATTTTTCGTGCATGTTTGTTTAACCAGCTAATCGTTGCTGAGCAGCAGTTTCAAAACCTCTGTTTTCTCTGCCAATCGTTGTTGAGTACTAGTTTTCATTCCTATTTCTAGTACCATCAAATCCTTCCTGAGTACTCTGAATTCTCGTGTTCCTGCATGTTTATTCGTCCAATCGTTGCAGAATACCAGTTTTCGCGCCAATCTGTTTTATCATCCCCGAGTACCAGTT